ATATATTCTTTCAGTTTCGTGTCATCGCGTTACGCAAGTTGACGATCCTAAAAGAAATCCCGGGTCTGAAAGTGTTAATTATGACATGACACCGAGAAATTTCGTGATGTTTTTATCAAAACAAACGTTTTCCTTTTTTTTCTAAGCGTCTTAAATTTCAAGATTTAAAGAGAGAGAAGGAGAGAGAAGGATATAAAATTGGATGTGAAATTCGCGGGTTGAATCAGTCGGAAAGAAAGAGGAAGACACGTGACGTTGTGGGAAATTATATCGGCCAAATGAAGCGATAAAATTCAACCGCGGACATGTTATTACGGCGTATAAAGGTGCTCGTAAAATTTTACCAATTCCTGCTTACGTAGCGCGAAAGGAGGATGAAAAAAATAAAAAGGGGAAGAGCGATGAGACGAGGAGGAACGAGGCGCGTTTTTTTCTCGCTCCGTTCATGCGAAGATTGACTCGCTTTCTTCCTTTTCTTTTTCACGGCTTGAAATTCGATCGATTGAACCCAAGTGCCCGATGGTCCCTTGTTCTCAGCACGAGAGGATCCTTGGCCTCTTTTAACGGGGAAATATCCAGAAGATGCTACGTTACACGCAAATAACCTCGCGAGAACATGACTTATTTAGTCCCGACTTATTTCGAAAACCATCTTTCCTGAAGATTCGCAAAACTTTGATAGAAGCGTACATTTTTTATTTATACATTTGTGATATTTTGCTCTTTAAATTTTTTAGATAAATAAATTTCGAACGAGTAAAATATTTAAAATTTCATATTTTGATACTCGATATCAATTCCGGTGTTTTAGCTGGCGCGCATTTGGATCTTCTAAATAAATCTCGCGTTCGGATGGCGAAGCCATTGGGAGAATCGTCCGACTGTTTGATAAAAAAAAAAAAAGAGGCGAGTAAAAAATTAGGGGCGGAAATAATCGGCCGGAGATTGAGGAAGGAAAGCGGTTGTGTTGTTGGGCGATCGTGAATGAATTCGCAGAATCGGCGAAATCGTCGTGATCAGCCCGGGCCTCATTAGCCCGTTCGATCGATCTTCCACGCGTGGATCGCGATGGGCCTCGATCGAGCCTCAATCCCCCTCCTCCCAGCCTATCACCTCTTCTCCCCTCTTCCCCCTTGCCCGATCTTTTTCCTCAGAATCGTTGCGAGATCGTCGAACTTCACGATCCGACTTCCTCCGGGCGACGAGTTGCTCAAACGCGATGCTCGCCGATCGCGTTCCCGGTTTCCCCGCGAGAGATCGAAACTAGATCGCGTTGCACAAGAGATCGCGCAGCCGAGAGAGAAAGATCGCTTCGGGGAACAATAGCATTGTGGCCCCTTGTCGCTCTTGGGACCTACATTTTCCGAATTTTTCAGCGATCTCGTCAACGTTAAGAAAAATTTTCACTGGTTTTTTTGTGAATTATAATAATCAAGATTCTTTTTATATTTCAATTATTCGAGATGCACGCGATCGAGGATTATAAATTAATGTTTTATTTTAATAAATTATTATATAGAATCTCCGTAATTTTTATTTTCGAGCTTGAACTGTGATAAATTCGCGGATTTAATTAACTGAATTTTATCTTTTGAGAAACATCTCGGATCTTCGTCCCGTCATTTCGTAGCGCTACTTTCCTCGTGTCGCTTGTCATTAACCGATAAACGCGCACAATGGCGTCGCAGGGGGGCGACCTAGATTTTCCAGAGTTTTCTCGCGCGACGCTTCGCCTCGGTTACATCGGTTACTGCGGGATCGTTTGCTCGCGCGGCTCCAAGAGCCAGGGCTCTCTCGCATGCTCTAAGGCGTGGGAACGCACCGTGATCGTGTATAAATTCGCTCTAGCTAGGTACAGCTCGCGAGATAGAAGCGGGACGAGAGATAGGAGAGAAAAAGAGAGAGAATGAGTGAGGACTAGGCGCGCGTGTACGACGCCGAGTGGTATGAGCAACGCTTGCGCAACTTCTTTTCCGCGCTCGCTTATCCCGCAATGCCGTAGCAACGCACTGTACCAAATTAATACAGTATAGACGTGCAGATCGAGCCTCACGCTCGTGCTAAATGCCAACAACGCGAGCCGCGCGCAACAATTGATCGCAGCCGCCGCTCCCGGATGTCCGAGCACGCGAATGTCATTCTTTATTTAAAGGCCCAGTCTATTTTACGGACGTAAAATATTCTACATGAATTATATTATTATAATATAAAATAAATCACCATTATGTAAATATATAAGCGCAACCCCAAGTATCCTTAAAAATTATATATAATTAATTAACAAAATTATAAATTACTCACGCGCCATGGCTGTTCCGTTGTCGCCTGATGCCTCCACGGATCTCTTTTCCTCATTTGTTTGTCTTTTGTCGCTCCTTCAGTTCTTTGGCACTCACGCAACACTCACGAAACGAATTTATGATTAATTATGATCGCGCGATATTTTACATAGCACTCCTGACATCAATGCACGCGACACGCACTTTATTTTAAATTTCGACGGAAAAACGCAATTCACAATGCATAAAATACGAGATCAATAACAACTATACTTGTTAATTAAAGGCGTCGCAATAACGCTCGAGTCAATTTATGTTGTATCCGGGATGTCTTATTAATGACAGAGAACTTCGAATATATGACATCAGCACAGCTGTACTCTAATACTGCGCGCTGAATTAATGGCTAATTGAGACGCGATAATCGCGTTTATTAAATTAATTGATTGTGCGGTTTGAATAGCCAATAAGCCGTAAGAAATGATCGTGTTTGGTACGTTTTCGGTACTTGTCGCGATCATATATTTCGTGAGATTATACGCGTTTTGCGACGCTGCTTTCTCGCTCGAGTCTCGTCGCGTGAATGATAAAAAATCCATCGCGCATGATAATAATATACGCCGCATGTTTTTGTTCGACGTATGGCATGCTATCCTTTGTTTATGTTTTGTTGTCGTGCGCGCGGTATATAATAATATATGTATACAAACACAACAGGTAACTAAGAGATACAAAAAAACATTTCTTACAAATAGTTAAAGATTATCAACCGGTGCGAGGAATTAATTTTTGCAATTATTTCCATAATTCTTAATTAGTTCGCGTAATATCGCGTGATATCGGAGCAAAATTACCGATGTGTCATTTTCGAATTTTTAAGTCATTAAAACATCGCGGATTAATACAAAACGGATTGATACGACGATCATCACGATACGACTAATTAATAAATATAATCTCATTATTAATATATTCCGGTATATTAATATGTATCAATGCGTATCATAAATTCGATGTTTGTATATATGGATGATCTGCTAAAAGACGTTTTTAGTGACTCATTTGATCGAAATAAATCGCGCGAGTCGGCAAAACATACGGCGTACGCATAAATAATGCATTTTTAATCACCGTGCATATTTGTTTCTAATTTTAACTTGTATATTTATTTTAATTTATTCATTTCAATCGATATTTATTTCAATTTTAACTCGTATTCATTTGTATTATAATGAGAGATAGTAAAATTGCCGTAAAATGCGTGTGTATACTATTCATTAGCGACATTAGATAGCATTGTGTAAATTGGATGCGCGATTTTTGTGTCGTGCATGGATGGTAGCTTCATGCAACGAATTGACACGTGTACGATTAATGAAAGTGCCATGTAAAGCGCCACGCGATCGTCGTATTCCAATGATTAGCGCGATTGTAATTAATCGTTAGTGGCAAAGGACAAACAAGCATATCATATCGAAGAGCGGCAAAGAACAAACAAGCAAAAAGAGGTCCGGAGAAGCATCGGGCGGTGCATTCATGGAATGAACAATTTATGATCACAATATAATAATTATTTGTTATTTGATCACTCTATATAAGCGTCTATATAAGCGGATGTAACTCATTTTATAGCCTTGTGAATAATATGATTCGTGTAAAACATCTATTTTATTTTGAATCATTTAAAATATTTAATAAAATATGTTTATAATTAATAATTATATATATTAATATATAATATATAATATTCGGTACATATTATATAAGATTTATAATTTTTTAATTATTTAACTAGTATTCTTGTAGTAAAATGGGTATTGGAGCATTTTCGATTATTTTTCAAACTTATTTCGCGAGCGATAAAGTCGGAATTAGAATATTTTATATATAATTAATTCGGAAAACAGTTTGATATTAAATTGATATTGTTAATTTATTTTCGATCACTTTATACTGTTATATAGTTATGACGTTTTATCGTGTTATCGCATCTATAAAAATTTAGTATTTAAAAAATTTTTGATATTTTTGAAACTTGAAATCTAATATATTTTAGCAATTAATTCTGTAATAATATATTTGTTTTATGTTTATAATTCCTCATCAATGTTTTCTAAGAGTAGGAGTGTCAGCATAATGTCAAATCAACCTGTTTATAATATAAATTTTTTCTGCTAATTGATAAAAGGATTCGAAATTAGTGCAAAAAATTACCAATAAATTAACGCTTAATTACCATATATCCGAAATTAATTTTTCACGACAATTTAACGGAGGCCCAAAAATCCTGAGAAATTCAACATCTTTCTTTTTATACTATGGACCAGAACAAAGTAGCTGCATTAAAATTGCATTAAAACCTCATCTAATCCTTAATTACCATATATCCGAAATTAATTTTTCACGACAATTTAACGGAGGCCCAAAAATCCTGAGAAATTCAACATCTTTCTATTTTAAAAGTCATACTTAACCCTTTTTATACTATGGACCAGAACAAAGTAGCTGCATTAAAATCGCATTAAAACCTCATCTAATTTCATCTCCCTTCCTTTCTTCTAGGTAACCCGTGGAATCCGAGGATGCGGTGGCGAATGGAGCGGAGTCGAGGGCGCTGCGTTTGACGAGGATATCCAGCGCAGATCGACGTCAGCATCGTTCAGCGCACTTGAGCGAATAATTAAAGTCGACTTGGAGCAAGAAGCGGCGTTAACTGAGTACAACGAGTGGCGTCATACCGTCCTCATGGACTTGACGGAAGCTTTCGCGCCGGGAGGCGGCGGCGAGGATCTGCCGAAGACGGACTTCTTCGATTTCGTGGTGTCACCGCCGCCACACTGCGCCTCGGCCGACGGTGTCGTCTCCGACGAGGAGAGCTTCCTACATCGCGGCACCGCCGGCTGCCGCGCCATGGGCGGTTACCTTCAGACCCACGAGGATCACGAGAGCTCGCACGGCGGCTCGCCCTTCATCAAGGAAACCAACAACAACACGTTGACGGCGCTACCGCCCGTCTCGACTATCACCGGCTCATTGAGTCATCATCATCAGCATCATCATCACGCGCATCATCATGTGCGCGCCCAGCACGGCGTTCAACCGACTGGTGGCGAGACCACTGCTATGGATCAATCAGAATGCGATTACTGGGGCCAGGAGGACGACGGCAAGGAGCAAACGTGCAACATCCTGTTGGAGGATCTCAACAAGTACTGCTGGTCCTCGAGCGCGCACACCAATGATGGCGTCATTCATTCGGCGACCGGTGTTCCCAACGATCATCATCAGACCGTAGGTTCGGGCCGCGCGGGCTGCACCGTCAACGACCGACAGAATACGGACGGTGCCATTTATACGTTGACGGTGTTGAACAACGAGGCAAATTCCATGGATGCGTTGGATTGTTGCAAGAGCCCGGCGCCCGCGTCCGGAGATTCCTGGTCCCTGCGACCGAATCTTGACCTCGACGCCATTCTGAGCATGGAACCGTCCTCCGGCGAGCAAGACCACGAACAGCAGACCAGTGGTGATGTGTCCAGGAGCGTCAACGATAGGTTTCACGGGCCGGATGGCCGCGGCTTCACCGTGCCGTCGTCGCAATATGCCACCGACGATAGCGGCTTCGTCGAGAGCAAAGAGCTGTGCGTGCGTGCATCCTCGGCCAACTGTTCCGGCGACAACAACAACGACTGGAAGCTATCGGACCAGAATCTCCAGGAGGTCGCGGCTGCGGCTGCCGCCGCAGTCGCCGTAGGAGCCGGGGATTCCGCCGAGAGTCTTCTGAGAAGTGCTCTTCAGGGTAAACTGTATACTGGACCGGCTCAATCGGTCTCCTCGTCGTCATCGTCCTCGCAAGCATCCGCCATATCGATGCCAGTTTCCGCAAGCACGGCTCTCATGGTCTCCGATCAACAGCAACAACAACAGCAGCAACAGCAGGAGGACTCTATGCAGGCGTGCACCGACGAGGATCTGTTACTCTCGCAGCTGGACCAGACGACCTACCGACCGGGCGACTACGAGAAGCTGAAAAGCATCGCGAACGAAGTAGTGGAGTCGTATTGCAGTCTCGAGCCGGTCTGCAACGTGTCGGCGACCACTACGGTGATGTACACGCTGGACCCGGCGAGCGGGAGTCTAGGTACCATCACGTTACCGGCCGATCTTGGCCAGGTGAGCACCGTGACGGTCGTCACGGCCGCTCAGCAAGACGTTTTACAACAACAACAACAACAACAACCCGCTCAACGAACCGACGTGGACCAACAGCAGCAGACGCAGCAGTCGAGTCAGCTGCAGTTGCCTTCCGCCCGAGTGGGCGTCAGTAGCAAGCCGCCCAAGAAATACGTTAGACGCGCCAATCGCAACAATGCCAACGGCGCCAGCAATGGCGGTGCTGGCTCGGATACCGGTAGCAATGCAAATCAGCAACAGTCTAGCGGTTCCGGCGGCTCGCCCGGTAGCGTACAGCGCAAGGAGCGCTCCTTGCATTACTGCAGCATCTGCAGCAAGGGCTTCAAAGACAAGTACAGCGTAAACGTGCACATCCGGACGCACACCGGCGAGAAGCCGTTTGCCTGCTCGCTCTGCGGCAAGAGCTTCCGCCAGAAGGCCCACCTGGCCAAACACTATCAGACCCACGTGAGCCAGAAACCCGCTGGCATCCAGCAGACTACTTCCGGAAGCGGCACCGGCGGCGGGAACAACGGTAACACTAGCCCGACGGCAGAGACCAACGCGACCCCCTCCTCCGCAACCCCCGCTATCGCCAGCAGGACTCAGGTCGCCGTGGACCCCACGGGGGCCGCCTGCAGTCCCCCCAGTTAGTTCGCGAAACGCGAACGCGATACGACTTGCGGGCGCACATCCGTCCGTATTTTCTTTTTCTTTTTTCTTTCGTTCGGAAAAGAGATGGCGGCCGTGGCTGGTTTCCGCTTTCTCTTCTCTCGTTCCCCATTTTTTACACGAATATAATTTCCATAATAGAAATGCCGAGCCGAGCTTGCGAGAAAGAGCGAACCATGACGAATGATTAGATGAACGCATCGTGTGTGTATCGGGTGTTCGAAAACTAATTTTGGAAAATAGTTTTTTTCGAGAATTTATTTGATTTGATAAAGTTTCGATTTAACTTAAATTGGACTTGAGTTAATTAAGTTTAATTCGTTAAACTAATTAGGTAGACTTGCATGCTTGAATTTATTCACAAATTAACGTAATCAAATTTATTTAAATTATTTCTTACATCGACTCGATTAATTTTATTCAATTATTTGAAAAATTCGAATTAATTTAATGCCTCCAATCAGATTAAATTCGAATTATAGCACTGAAAGAATCAATTGCGAATTATGTGAACAATGGGAATCATTTTCCGTAACATCCTGCACACTGGCGAGAAGCCGATTGAGTTTCGCATGGCAAAACTGCGCGCGACACACCGTAGAATTATTAATTAAAAAGTTAATTATATATAAGAACCCCGATCTTTGTTTGCGAGATTATCTATCCTAACGGCGGCAGCTCGCTGCCGAGTTTTTATATTAATTATTAAATAATTATGAAGAGAGGGGCGCTAATCGCATTCCCCTTAAATTAACATGACATCCGTGAAATTGTTGTTCCTACGATCACCCTTAATGACAGTAATGACGAAGACAATGACAGGCGACGATAAAGACGACAGAACGACGAATGTTTATAGGCTACTTGACGATATTAATTATATTTAATAGCCACGAGATATTAAAGTTAAAGATGTTTTATAAAATAAATCTTTACAATTATACAGGGTGTTCCAGAATCATCGAATTCTTTTAATCGAAGTTTCTACGGTCGGAAAATAATCTTTTCTTACTATGAAAATGTCCAAGATCATCCTTTATCACATCTTTCCAATTTTGAATATTTTATATCTTTA